CTAAATAAACTTTTAGTCTATCATTCAGTGTGGCCAAAAATAGGACACCAAATTATGGCATTTCCAAGCGTAGTAGCTTGGGTCTTGCTAATTATTTTGCTAAGACAGTATCAGTAAGTAAATAAAGTATCAGAGGGTATAATTAAGGGACATCTCAGGTTGTTCAATCTGCAAAGGGTATGAGTAATTAAGACATCCTACCCTCTTCAAAATAGCCTAATGAACAGACTGTGAACTTCAGCTCCACCAATTTGAGCACAGGGGCAGGGCTTGCTGTGTTGGGAATAAAAAGGGAGCAGCCCATGCACTTTCTGTGCTTGATTTTTTGGTTGGTGGCACACCCTCCTGATGAAGTAAACTGCCTTGTTGAGTTGTTTTTGAGTTGGAATTCTTACGCCTACATGACACCTCAACATCCTGACCCATTTCTATCACTTAAACTCCCTACTTCTAAAAATCCATGCTTCTCAATTTGTGTACATGTGCTTGTCCTGGGGCTTGAACTCAGTATCTGGGAGTTGTCCTTGAGCTTTTTTACTCACTCTACCACTTGAGCCACAACTCCACTTCTGGCCTTTGGTGGTTAACTGGAGATAAGTCTCATAAACGTTCCTGTCCGGACTAGCTTTGAACCACATCCTCAGATCTCAACCTCTTGAGTAGCTAGGATTACAGTCGTTAGACACCAGTGCCCTGCTGAAGTACTTTTGAATGGAGTCCTTTGGATCTTAGAATGCATGATAATTTAACTCTAGATGTGTCCTTGTGATTTGATCAGACACAAATCACACTCTAGAACCTTTCAATTGCCTAAAAAGACCTTTTCATGAACATTCAATTACTTTAAAACCTTCATGAATAAAAACATCCTCTAGTCTTAATAAGCAATGTCCTATAATCCACAATTACATATATTAGGTGTGTATATAATTCTCTAGATATCTATTCAGAATCATACCAGAATGAGCATATAAAGAATAGTATATGGGTCATATAGTTAACTGATGCCTAATTCAGTAGGTAGAGAAAAAAGGGAGAAAAAGCGGGGGGGGAGGTTCCTGGAATGGCAGATAGTAACTACACATTCTTAGGACCAGATAATTTGTGGAGCCCAATACAAAATAAAAATTATAGTGCAAGATAGTAGCACACACTTGTAGTACTGGCTATGCAGAACTATTATTTGAGCTCAGTCAGTAATTTGAGGCTAGGACTCTTAAGGCTAGGCCTTAAGGGGTAAGACCCTGAGTAACATGATTTTTTTTTTTTAATGCAGCCAGCCTGGACAACATGGAGACCCTATCAGATTAAAAAAAAAAAAAGGCAGGACTCCTTGTTCAAGAATTAAGATAACTAACAGCAGGGCAACGGTATCTCATGCCTGTAACCCTAGCTATTCAGGAGGCTGAGATCTGAGGATTGATGTTCAAAGCTAGCCTGGGCAGGAAAGTCCCCGTGAGACTCTGATCTCCAATTAACTACCAGAAAACCAGAAGCGCTGTGGCTCAAATGGTGGGGTGCTCCCCTTGAGCTGAAGAGCTGAGGGACAGTGCCCAGGCCCAAAGTTCAAACCCCAAAACCAACAAAAAAAATTAAGATAACTGTACATAATTTTTATTTGAAGGTAATTTTTTTCAATATTTTAATTGGAGATAATGTTTTTAAGAATTAAAGTAACAGCAGAGCATTGTGAGTTCAGGTCAAATACCCTTTGTGGCCCATCTATGAGGGCCTATCCATCTTTAATGCAAACCCAAACCCAGAATGGAGCTTATTTGGAAGGTCTGGCAAAAGAGTTTAGCTACTTATATGCCCTTGACTCAATAATGGCCCTCCCTACACTACTGAGGAAGATTCTCATCCTTTATTAAGTACACAGCTTCTTCAAGGGAGGACACACACATATACTGCTGAGGGAGGAAGAGGACACCTACCTACCCAACCAGATCAGAGGTATCTTTAACCACTTGAAAATTCTAACAATGAATACTCATTCTGATACTATTTTATACATCTATTTTTAAGAGAGAGGAGTTCGACTAGGCTGAGTTTGACTGAAGACTATTAACTCTGCCAAAGGCCACCCCTATACCTACTTTTATATCTACTGTGTATGGCCTCATGCAAGTGACAACCTCTCTGGCCAGTTTACCACATACAAAAATACTACTACTTATATCACAATATTATTAGTTAATTGACCTTACTGCAGTGCTGGGGCTCAAACTCTGAGCCTTCTATATGGTAAGCAAGCACTCTGCAACTAAGCTACATCCTAACCCCTCTACAAGGTCATCAATATACGTTTAATGTGCGTTAAGATGTACAAAGCACTTATAATTGTGCCCCAGCATATATTGCTATAAACCATTCTACTTATTATTTCTATCTAGAAATGATCTTCACAGAAAGCGAATCTAAAGGACAAGCTTTGGCTTCTGAAAGCTGTTCTTTAATAATTCAATTTACAAGTATTTATTAAACACCCACTCTGCAACATTCCCTTGGCAATTTGTCTCCTACTCCATCATTCTTTCTTCACTAGTTACTTCTGCCTTGTTGATGTTTTAAAAAAAAAAAAAAAGAATTCACCTGACCATTCACTATTCTTCTAGTAGTTCCTTGGCAAAGATGAATGTCTAGTTTTCAAGAAATATTTCAAGAAAAAGGAAAAGACTGAATAGCAAAAAACGATACCAATGAAACTCATTTGAACTTCATACATATCAATGTTATTCTTCCTATAAGTCTTGCTTAATTAGTAAAGGATAATCACATGAAAGCAGATCAACACAGACATGCAGCAAAATAATTATGGATTCTAAATTTTTGTCCAGAAATCACCACATATATGGCACATTTTCTTTTTTGACACCCAATAATCTTTTGGAGCCGGGCGCTGGTGGCTCACACCTGTAATCCTAGCTACTCAGGCAGCTGACATCTGAGAATCATCTTTGGAAGCCAGACCAGGTAGGAAAGGCAATGAGACTCTGATCTCCAATTAGCCACATAAAAACTAGAAGTGGAGCTGTGGTGCCTTGAGCAAAAAAGCTCAGGAACAGCACCCAGACTCTGAGTTCAAGCCCATGACCAACAAATAATACTAATATCTTTGAGGCATTGAGTGTGCATGTAGCTCCCAGTGTGGTACGGTGCTTGTCCAGTTTGTGAAGACCTGGGTTGTATTCCCAAAACAAAATAAGTCATTACTTTCATAACAATAAAGTTTCATTAAAGTTGGTGTATATATTTTAGATTTCTTGAATTACATGCAAATAGTCTTCTCTACTTGAAAGAGTATAAAACACAATAAACAATACCTTGAGTTTGTATGTCTAGGCAGTGGAACTATAGGTAAACGAAAGATCAGAATTTTACAAAGTAACTTCTCCAAAGTTAAACAAAAAAAAAAAATCAGAGGGCTGGGAAGGTGGCTCAGTGGTAGAGAGCTTGCCTTGCATGCATGAGGCCCTGGGTTCGATTCCTCAGCACCACAAAAGCAAAAAGAAAACAGCCGGAAGTGGTGCTATGGCTCAAGTGGTAGAGTGCTAGCCTTGAGCTGAAGAGCTGAGGGACAGCGTCCAGGCCCAGAGTTCAGGCCCCACGACCAGACCCCCCCAAAAAAAAAAATCAGAAAAAGTATTAGTAATAATACCATTGATTGAGAGGATACCCATTGGAAACTGGAAAGTAATGACCCAATCCATACATATTCCTGTATACCCTATAGCCATCTTACACCTAAAGACAAGTTACCGGACAGGAAACAAAAACAATAACAAAGACTATTTACCCTCTGAACAAAATTATTTTAAGGTTGAAGACACAAGTGTAACACAGAACATGTTATCAATTCACTATTTGTGTCTTAAGAGAAGAAAAAGTACAACTTTACAGACAAGAAAATTCTGGAAGTGACTGAAAGCAAACTGTTCAAAAGTTTAAGAGTTATTAGCTTACGTAAGTGTCCAACTAACCCAGGGAACAGAATAAAGTTGTATTAATTACAAATAAAACCTAAAACCAGACCCACTAAGTAGATATGGGATTGTCTCAGTTCTTAAAACACAGATCTCAACAAATCTTTCCGACTTGGTACATACACAACTAGACAAAACCCTAGTGATAAGTAAAGGCATAAAAAATAAAAAATAAGGATCACTCCCCAAGCACCCTTCTTAATTCCGCCTGACTATCCAGGCTTCCTCGAGTCGATTAAGGTGAAACCGTGGAGTTACAGTTCTAAATGAAAACCACTCCAGGAGTAGTTAACATCCACGCTTTGATGAGAAAACGCAATTAAATAAACCGCCAATCAACTTCAGACCACATGCAAAAAGAGAAGATGCCGAGGCCTGGCCTGACACTCCTCCCCCCTCCCCCCAACCCACACCTTTTAGGATCCTAAGCTGCATTAATGATACCCCCTCTCGAGGTGGAAAATCACCCGGGGGCCTGGAGGGTTGAGGACAAAGTTACACGGAGGACCTCGCGAAGAGATGCGTTTAGGCTCGCAGCCTGCACACGTGTTACCGGTCTCCCCGGGGTCAGGAACACGGTGGCTTTAATCCGGTTTGGGCAGCGAGGAGACGGGTAAATAAAGACCGGCGCGGACCGTAAAGTGGCGGGTATTTCCTGGTTGGCGAGTGACGGATGGCCGCGATGCATCCATCTTCTGCTGTGTCGTTCGCCCCAGAAGCCCGACAGCGATCGCTTCCCCGGGGGACACGGGCCCCAGGCCCGGAACAGTCCCACCCGAGTCCCCTCACACTCCCACCCCATCCCAGCCCCCGGGGCGTGGCGGGACCCGAGGCCAGGGCTCCGAGGGCCGCCGGGCCGCGGAGGGAGGCCTGCCCCGAAGCGCACGGAAATGCCTCCTCCCAGCTCCCGCGGTTCCTGCTCCGCCAGGCCCGACCGGAAGAAGACCACGGGCAGGCCTCCGGGCTGCAGCGGGCCGACCGGGGCGGCGGCCGGGGAACGGGCCGGAGACGCCTCACCGTGTGTTCGTGCTCGTCCGCTCGGGCCCGGGGCAGCAACAGCAGCAACAGCGCGGCGGCCGCCGCCAC